TCAAATATTCAGATCTACATATCAAAATAAAGAACTAATAAGTTGGTTCTTTTTAGATGAAATATAATACTCTTACAAATGGAATTAACTAATTTTACAAGTGTTTCACAATTTTTCAAATACAAAGAAGCATGTGTCTTTTAGTATGATTTCTCTGAATGATTGGTTTCTGTAGTGTTATTTCTTCTATTTGTTAAACAGTTTTCTCCTTTCCTCTTGACTGTTTTCTACATGTTTGGAGCATACTTATCTCTTTAAGATTTTCCTTCTTTCATTAACCACTGAACATAAGAAAAATGTTTTGCAAAATTAATTTTTCCCACAAAAAGGCATGGCCTATGTGACAATAGGAAAATGTTTATGTAATGTGTTATAATGTATTAATGTGGTGATCTAATTCCTAAGTTATTTTAAGGACATAGGCACTCAGTTTGTGAATTTAAGGGGACTAACTGGGAACATAGGTGTTCCAGAAAAGACAAATTCTGCTTTGGCTTTGCATTCACCATTGACATTATGAATCACAGACTACAGCTTATGATAAAAATCTTTGCACATATTTGCAAAGTTATGTTTACAAATCAGAGCATTCCCAGTCCTTAATGTTGCAACCTTTCAAAACTTTCGGTTGCACCTCACCTTTATGTCTTGGTTGGTTTCTGAAGAATCCAACTTTAGAGGCCTTAGTTGAAGGCACTGACATTTATTATCAAACTAAAGGCCCAAATGCATGAAATTCCTGCAAGGGGCTCTGCCCCTGCCACCATGGCCCCCGCCACCACGGAAGCTGCCTCTGCTTTGGCCCCACCCACAACAGATTTCTCCTGAAGGACATTCGGTCTAATTAGCATATTATGCTTTTATTATTATAGTTGGGCTACAGAGGTCAAGAAAGCCCATCAGCAGGAATGTTTACCATAAGTCACATCAAAAATTTACCACGTCTTTGGGGCAGCTGTTGAGGGAATAAAGTTACAACACAAAGGCTGCTCACGTTTACAACTGTCACGTGGGCAGTTTCACTTAGGCAGATTAGTCAGTTTCCTCTGTGCTCAAAAAGAATGATGGTATCACACAGAAAGTAGAAGATGCCTGGGATAATCAGTTCTATCGGAAAAAGTCCCAGATCCTCACTCTGATATGGTAACGAAATCCCCTTGGGCAGCATAAGGCTGGGCATGTGATGGGTTTTCATAGGATGGTGGCTGCCAAGCCTAAAGAGAAACGGAGAAAGCTCTTCCCTTTTCCATCTTCCTACTCCCATTAAGAGATGTTCAAAGAAGCAGACAACATAAAGTCCCAAAAGATATAACCAGTCCAAACCCTCAGGATGCCCACAGTTTAGAAACAAGCCTTCACTGATAGACAGAAATAGTTTACTAATAAGCCCAGACCTCCCTGGCCTGTATCTTTTTTTTTTTTTTTTTAAATCAATCTTTATTGTTCATATTATTACAAAGGTTCCTCATTTCTTCCCCCCTCCACCAGGTGCCCCCCCCACCCTCCGCCCCCCCCCCCATCCCCCATTGTCCTCATCCATAGGTGCAGTTTATGTTCAGTCTCTTCTTCCCTCAATTTCCCCAATAGTAAATCCCTTTTCAGATAGTAAATCAGTTACTTAGCATTTTCTCATATCAATAATACCTCCACATGCCCAATGATACACTTCACACAAAAGACATTTCCCACTAGATCAACCAGCCTCATCCAGGCCCCACCCAAGGCACTCACAGATCAACACCCCAGTCCTAAACTAACTCAACACATCCAGATCTAAGCCTTCATCACTTGATTCAGCAGACCCTCAAGTTCCCACGAAAGTTTCCAGCCATGTCTGAGAAGCAGCCGTGGGGCAGGGGCAGGCAAGGAGCGAGCTGTTCTGGGCCTGGCTGCTCAGGGCCTGGCCTCTGTTGCTCTGGTTCATTCCACAACCAGCTGCTCCGGGTCTGGTCACTGCCGCTCCCGACCTAGTTGCTCTGGACTTGGCTGCTACTGCTCTGGGCCTGGCCTGTATCTTGATATTAGAAATAAAGAACTGAAGGGGAGCAGCATATGCCAGCCAAGCAATGCCTGAGTGGCTGCAGATGCAGGAGAATCTCTGACAACAGAGAAGTTGCCCTTCTCTTACAATGACAAGGGGAATCTCCATTTGTAAGGGTGTCTTCCTCTCTGTGCAAAAAAGAGGACAACAAAATCTCTTCTAGGAACTCTTACGCATAGAGAAGGCGCCTACATAAATCGGAATAACAACTGTACTCTTGTTTGCTGTGCTTTCCCTGATAACATCCCATAACTTTCCTCCAACACTGGTGTGTGTGTGTGTGTGTGTGTGTGTGTGTGTGTGTTTCTTTAGCTGAAGATGTAAAGGGGTGTAGCTTGGGCCATTTCAGGGAGTCCCTTGTTTTTGCTGAGTATCACCCATGTATAGTGGAGGCATACATGCTATGAAATTTCTGTTGTTTTTCTCTTGTTAATCTGTATTTTATAATCTCAGCCAAGAACCTGGAGGAGTAGAAGTAAATTATTTTTGTTCCCCTGTAGAACTAAAAGTCTGGACCTGAACTAAGGGACAATATCTAAAATTATGTTCCAGCCAGTTTTGCTCAGTGGATAGAATGTCAGCCTGCAGACTAAAGGGTCTCAGGTCCGATTCCAGTCAAAGGCACATGCCCAGGTTGCAGGTTCGATCCCCAGTGGGGATGGGTTGGGGGCCAGCAGGAGGCAAACAATCAATGGTTCTCTCTCATCATTGACGTTTCTATCTCTCTCTCCCTTAATCTTCATCTCTGAAATCAATAAAAAAAAATTTTTAATCTAAAATTATGAAAACAATTGAGATGAGATACACAGCTATTGAGTAAAACCATAATTTGGTTTCAATTATGAGCACAAACCTCTGTAATAACTAAATGACTGTTTTCAACTTTCTTTCATTAATGGTTTAAATCTATTTCACATAATTAGACCTTCTCAGTTTCCATGAGCTGACAGGCAAGAAAAATTCTTACATACAAATGGAAAATTTTCTTAACACTTCTTCCTTTCTCTCCATAGTTCTAAAGTCAAATGAAGTTATTCATTACAGAAGCTCACTAGATGAAAGATTAGCAAAATTAAATTGTCTTCCCCCCGCCCCCCCATTTTCCTTTTTTCCTCACCACCACATGTTCCATCAAAGCCCTTTACTTAAGTCAGCTCAACTAGTTCTGTATCTCTGAGCCTTGCCTGCAGGGCCACATCCTGTGTCTGGAATGGGAACCCCTCTCAGTCAGGCCTCAAGTCCTGACCCCGAGTCCCCCCCACCCCCCACCCCCTGCCCCTTTCACTTACCCAGACAATGAGTTGTCTTATCTGTCCCTTAAGGGTGTGTGTCTCTTTAAAATCTCCATCTTAAATATTTAGCAAAACATAATATGTACATATCACTTTTATACACATGCTATTTAATGTATGTACCCATTCTGTGTGTGTTTATCTTAAAATATAAGCTCCCAAGCCAGACCATGTCTTGAGAATCTGCAGAGGACAGAACTTAACATGGTGCCATGTGTAAAGAATATTTTAGAAAATAAATTGTGATAGCAATACTTAAGTAAAAGTAGGAAGGCTTTTGAGATAATAAGAACAAACTTAAAGAAACCTCACATACTCCTTAGATCACACCTAGAGTACAATCCTTTCTTTCCAGACCTTAGTAATGTTTCAGAAAACAGAACTGACATTACCTGAAAATAGCTGCTAGTTTGCTGCATATAAAATTACCTTGGAAAAGAGACAGTGGTTTTTGAACCCATGTTAAAGGCCCCATGAACTTAGAAAAATGCATAACCAACCACAACTCTATGTAAGAGAGGAAAGCTGGAAAAGTAAGGCTGTTTATTCTCATAATTTCCCCCTTTTACTCATTAACACTATATTCATTGAAGTGTATTTTCCAGCCGCAATTAAACAAACAGACATCAGCAAACCAGAAATAGAATATCTAAGTATAGAAAAAAAAAAAAGATTGCTACATGTTTTCACTGTGGTACATTTGCATGATCTCTTTTTAAAATAAAACAGTGTTTCCATTCAGTTCCGCTTAATCTTAGTGGGCATTTTTGTTTGATTAAAAAAAAAGGCACCATTTACTTATTATTTCTTGTAGATGAGATTGTGGCTGAGCACAGTTAAGAACCACTTGAAGCGTGCCTTTATTTCTCCTAAAAGTTCAGACTGCCTGAAGGAATCTCTTCCTTCCTACATGTGAGATGGAAGACCAGTTGCCCATCCTTCACTCTCCTTCTAAAAAGCTTTTCTTCGGTTTCCAGGGTCAGAGCAGTGTTCCCATCGGGTTAAGCCCAGGAAAACGGAAGGGTTAGGGTTCATTCCAACCCTAAATCTCCCAAAGTTTCGGGAGCTAATTACCCTTGATGAGCATAAGAATGACGGCCCTTTAGGGGGCTCCGTTTCCTAAAGATGACCTCCTGTTATATGATTTGGGGTTTCCAGAAGCTTTAATTTTCACAAGGTACAAAACAAGAGGCTTCTGCTTTTCCGGGCGATGAGACTGTGTCACATCCCCCAGCCACCATCGTCACCTAGCGGTCCATCCCTCCTTCATCAGGTACCCCAAAGCCGAAAACCCCCTGTCTACAGCCTGGGACGTCCCGGGGCCTCCCCTCCAAAATCCCCCACCTTCCGCGCATCTGACACAGAAAAGCTTCCTTTTCCTCTGCAAACTCCAGCAGCAGCCTTTTATCTCCGCTCACGAATGCAGCTGTGAAAACGCCTGAAGCGGCACATCCTGTGCGCGGGGGTGCCAGGCAGAAGTCTGAAAAGCATGCAAGGTCCCGGTCCCGCCGCGATGGACAAAGAAGAGAGCCCCACGCAGACCGCGGCGCTGCCTCGTCCGTCCCCGTTCCGCCCACCGTGTCTTGGAGGAGTCGCAGGCTCCATCCATACACACACACACACACACACTTTCTGTAAAATAACAGCCGAAATCATAAGCAAGTTACCTTCATGGTCCCGGCGGCGGCGGTGGGGATGGCTGGAGCCGAGCGGAGCATCCGCGCGAAGGGTCCGGTCCTCGGCGCCCGCGGGGCGGTGCGCGGCGCGCGGAGCGGCTGGGGAAGCGGCCGGGGTGGCGGCTGCTGCTCCACGTGGCGGCGGGACTGCGGTCCGGCCCTCCGTCTCGGAGATGCTGTCTCTCACGGGCTGATTGCATCAGCAGGAAGAGCGGCGAGGGTGTGTTTCCCCCAGCCCGCCCCCGGAGGGTAGCTCGCTTCCAGCACGAAAACTCCCGATCCTCGGCCCCCGGCTCTGGGCCTCGCCCACCCACCGCGCGCCTCTGGGACTTGGCCATGTCCAGGGCAGAGCACGCTGCAGTCGCCACCTCTGAGCACTGCAGCGTTTGCAGGGCCCATGCCTGGCTTTACCATTTCCAGTTGACTTTGGTCCATGCCACTTAAAGTTCCATGGCCCATTCATTGCGCAGCGGTCATCTTCCTTTTGCCTTTGGGTACAGCAGCCGCTGGACATCCCTTTGGGTTTGGTCTAGTTGCATCGGTAGCAACAATGCTTTGGGTATTTGCTTGTTCTCGGTTCTTCCCTGGCCACTGAGTGCTTTCCAACCTGGGAGTCTCCTCTTTCAGCAATACCTTCACCGCCAGCCACGGGTGCCCATGGAGCAGTTGAAATTGTGGCAAGTGTGACTGGGGAACTGAATAGTATTTTATTTTTATTTCACTTAAATTTATTTTTTAAAATATACTTTTATTGTAACTGATTTACTACCTGAAAAATGTAAAGTTCTGAAAGTTTAAGGTCTCTTGTCAAAAAGAGGTTTTAAAGCTAACACCTTAATTTTAATGGAGAAAGGGGAAGACAAGCCCTTCCCACCCAGAACAGGTAATCCAATTCCAACCAGAAGCTACGTTTAAACAACGTGTCCATTTACACTTGAATGGCTACACCTTTTGATAGCCTAAGGGCAAGTTTACATGTAAACAAGTTTGCTTCTCAATTCCCAGGGCAGAAAAAAAACAAGGTTTAAAATTATTAGATTTTAAAATTTATTCTTAGAAGTGTAAAAGTTTATTAATTAAAAAACAACAACAACAACAACAAAAGGAGATTGAAAAACCTGATGAACAATATTAGCTGTTGATTGTAGTAGAGTCGGGGATATGGGAGGGGAGTAGACTGACTGTTCTCCGGGAAAGGGGGAGTGGTGGGTGCAGGAAGAGACTGAACATAAACTGTGCACCTATGGATGAGGACAATGGGGGGTGGGGAGGGGGAGGTGGGGTGGGAACCTGGTGGAGGGGGGAAGAAATGAGGAACCTTTGTAATAATATGAACAATAAAGATTGATTTAAAAAATATATATATACTTTTATTGATTTCAGAGAGGATAGGAGAGGAAAGAGAGAAAAAAAAACCGCATTAGTGATAAGAGAGAATCCTCAGTGGGATGCCTCCTGCGCGCCCCCTACTGGGGATGGAGCCCACAATCCAGACTTGCGCCCTGATGTAGAATCGAACAGTGACCTCCTTGTTCATAGGTCAAACATCAACCACTAAGCATACGGCCAGGCTAATTTAAATAGCCACTGGTGAGTCTATAGATAATTATATAAGTTCAAATTCTTACAAAACCATTGGTGAGGCTCCAGAAAATGGATGCTGTACAGCCTGATCCGTGGAGGACGCAATGATCCCAGCTTTGTGGGTCCATGGATAGCAGTCAGGATGTGCATTCAGACTGGCTTATTTCCTCAGGTTTAAGAAATAGAAAGCTGGATCGTGGCATCATATTTAAATCCACTTGGGGAAAGTGGATTTAAATAGGCAACATTTCATTTTTTTTTTTTTCTATCTCTCTCTCTAAAATAGGCTACATTTCAGACATTCTGGATCCCCAGGAGAGTTAGAAGCCAATCCCGCACCTGGAAAAGATAGATTCTTAGGGGTCTTGGACTGTGGATTCTGAGAGAGATTAGATCGCTGCAGTGTTTATTCTGGAACAGAACAGGCTGTATCTTAAATACTGTGAAGGAAGTTTCTAGGTTTGAATGTTAATCTCAGATTATTCAAAGATCGATGAATTTCAACTTGTTGGCTTTAAAAATGGATTTTAAATGATCATGGATATTCAAAGGCCACTATGGAAAAGCTCTCATATATTTAAAATGTGCATGTGCACAAATACACACACACACACAGCATGTGTTACAGGATGGCTTTATTTTGAAAATATTGAAAGTGAAAGAAAAGTTAAATTTTACTATTTAGAACTTTCATTGTTAACAATTTAGATATTTTCTGGCTCTTTTTCTTTTTTTTATATTTGAGACCATATACATGTGTGTGTGTGTGTGTGTGTGTGTGTGTGTGTATATATATATATATGCAACCATTACAACAGAACAACCTGTTCACCAGTCAACCAGTCACTATGATGTGCACTGACCTCAAGGGGCAGACACTTAATGCAGGAGCTGCCCTCTGGTGGTCAGTGTGCTTTCACAGCCAACCTCCCATGGTCCCTCCCCCATATGCCTCTATCATCAGCCAGGCCGAGGGACCCTACCCATGCATGAATTCATGCATCGGGCTTCTAGTATGTATAATATATATAAAATTCTCTTTTATTATTTGAAACCTTCATTTTATCCGTTCTGTACTATTTATGCTTTATCGGTTTGGGATACCTTTCTTTTATTCAGTTGTATTTGAGAGTGAATGGAAGATCAACTCCTCAAAACTCTGTGATATGCCACCACAGCTTTTTGAACTGTAAAGAGTTTATTAAATCCAAGAATATTTCCTCAGCTTTGAGTTTCTGTGCAGATGGATTCAACACAGACATTCTACTTGTCTGGACTTTTCATTTTGAAGCTCAATATGAGTGCTCTATCATTTTATTACTTCCTTATTTATTTATGCTTTTATTCATAGCCTTCTTTTTAAATAAGATGTTTTCATAGATGTAGGACTTTGGTAGAACTTCCAGAAAACCTTAGGGGAAGGTGTTATAAAGTCTATAATTTAAAAAACTTCAGTGTAGTTGGAAGAATACTACATCAGTGGCATTCGTTTAAGGGGACCTACTCTCCAACACGTGTTACAGGATGGTCATCTGGCACTGTCCAGGAAGGCCACACTCTCTGCCAGCCTATCTCCTCCATCGAATTAACATATTAGATATTAAATAATATACAGACATTAGTTTTTCTATTGGCAAAACTAATGTCTGTATATTAAGAGGATAGATGTTAGATACTAGTTCTCATTGGTAAAAATAACATCCTTTCTATAAATATGTATAGACAAAATAAGTTAGGACATTCTCTAAAGCAGTTCACAGTTGTTGATATGGTAGGCCTTCCCCCTTGATCCTGCTTTTGTGTGATCCCTTACTCTAAAATGGGCTAGGTTGAGTGACTTGATTGTTATGAATAGTTTATGGCAGAAGCAATGGGATATTACTTCCATAATTAAGTTTTAAAAGGCTTGCTATTTTGGGGTGTGTGTGTGTGTGTGTCTTTCTCTTGGATTGCTCATCCTGAGGGAAGCCAATGCCAAGTTGCTAGGCAAGCCTGCTGAGAGGCCCATGTGGAGAGGAACTGAAGGCTGCCAGTGATCATGGGAGTGATCTTGGAAGCAGAACCACCCAGTTTCTGAGATCACTCCCATGATTATTGGCAGGCCTCTATTCCTAACCCACAGAAACTCTGACATCACAGATGTTTGTGGATCTGGGCCTCTAAATCTTGAGATGATTTGCCTTTCAGCAATAGATAATTAATAAAGATGGGAAAGACACAGAAGCTGAGAGAAACGACTTGGTGTCTAGAATATATTTGGCCACATGAGCTAACACTCAGAGTGCCTTTAATGTGCTAGGCAATGTTCTATGTATGTTACCTCTGGCAGTTCATGTAGTCCTCACCTGACACTGTTCTATTTGCTATTTTAGAAATAATAAAATTCCTGCGGTTGATTAAAGCAGAAGAGTGAATCAAATTCCATCAGAAGGCCCTGATAGGCAGGGGTGAATGAGCAAAGAGGAGAACTTGGAAATGCTCACTAAACGCTAAGTTTGAGTTTATTAAGCAAAATCCACATGAAACAGATTACCCTCCCCTTTTCCCCACTAACAGCAACCAGCAGAGTAAGAGAAAATCCTTCTGTTTGGGCAGAAGGGGCATTGCTCAAGGGAGTCAGAATAACCAAGTCATAGATGTGACAGATATGGTCCCTGCTTGTTTTTTTTTAGATACTGTGTTTGTTTGGTTTGTTGTTGTTTTGTTTGTTTGTTTTTTTCAAATAAATTAACATTTCTATCCCACTGATTCCCTCGGAAGAAATAAATTCATCAACAGATTGACTCATAAAATTTCCTCTAATATAAAGCAAAACATATTATGTGACTCTTCACAAATAATGAAAGTCACAGGCTGTTTTGATTTCTCTTCCTTTTCAGAGTGACCTCTGTGCATCTGCATCTGGCATTTAGAACAGTGAGAAGGGAGCAGGTGCCTGGGGGGTCTCAGCAAGCCTCAGACCCGCTTCACACTGGGCCTTGTCCTTGCAGCAGACATCAAGAAATCCCTGCTGTTGCACTGTGAGCACTGCCTGACCTCACTGGTGAAAACAATAAATCCCCAGCACGCTTTGGTTATTGCTGATAAAAATGCTTTGTCAAGCCTGTCTGGTGTGGCTCAGTGGTTGAGCATTTACCTCTCCACCAGGAGGTCACAGTTCAATTCCTGGTCAGGGCACATGCCCAGGTTGTAAGCTCAATCCCATAGTGGAGAGTGCAGGAGGCAGCCAATCAATGATTCTCTCTCATCATTAATGTTTCTATTTCTCTCTCCCTCTCCTCCCTTCTTTTATGAAATCAATTATATATATATATATATATATATATATATATATATATATATATATATATTAAACTCTTCGTTGAGTTTTAGGAAATTAATCCCAGTTTAGTTGTCCCAGCAAGATATTGTAGGCAATGGATGAGCACAGTGTTGGTAAAATTTTTCATGAAGATATA